AACTCGGTAGAAAAAAATCGTAGGACAATGAGTGGAAGCTCATTTTATAGAGAAAGGTACTCGTTTTCACATGAGATAAGTGCCATTAGGATAAAAAATTCTGTTCGCTCCATGGAATTTTTCAAAGTCGACCATAATTTTGAACAAATTATCTATAGCTATGCCGATAAGCAGTGCTCACTTTCAACTGGAATAACTCTGTCAAAAAAAATCGTAGGACAACCAACGAGCACTCATTTTACACAGAAAAGTAGTCGCTTTCGAATGAGCTAAGCGTCGTCTGTGTAAAAAATTTTGTCCACTCCATGGGATTTTCCAAAGTTGGACAAAATTTTGAAAAACGTTCGACGTGCGGTTTCTCCGCTAAAACATTGTCCACAAGCGGTACAATTAAAAACGTGATACAGCATCTAAAAGTAGAGGTTTCACACTTTCGAATCACGTATCAAAAACGACAATGCGATCATTTCTGCAGACGCAGCGATCGCTCGAAGTTGACCCTGCTCGCAAGGTTCGCGGAAGCGTCCCTATTCAATCTCTTCCAACGTGGAAAGCGCGGAGACAGCTTTACGGGTAAGCAGACGAGAAAAACGTTGCTTTCGTCTACCTGTTACACGGCGCAGAACCCCTAAGTTCTGCCGGACTGGCGGGATAGTTGTTATGGAAACGAAGCTGATGGGAAAAACGAGGGTCCCGATTGTAAACAGGAATGGAAACGAACGGGGCGTCGGTCGTATAAATATTATTCGGTCCCGGGAGGCCCGGAAGCCGCAGCCGCGTCGTTAAATCCGCAATTTTAAATGGAGTAGAAAACCGTTTGCTGCGAGCGTGACGCTTGTTACGCGACCCCGTTAATTTCAGCATTGATTTAAACCGTCCGGAGCCGGTTTAACGGTGGCGCGCGCGACGAGGCGACGCGAGCCGACACGACGTGACGGTGCATCGTACGTCGTTCAAATTAAAAACGAAGAGACCAACAGATGATCGGAGGGCGTGCGGGTGGGATTGCGGCACTTAAGTGCCATTAACCGGGCGCTCGTTCGGCGCCATAATAAATTTCCAATTGAAATTCGTAGTCGATCAGGCGGGGAAGTCCAGCCTTCGATAGGATAAACTGACCCCGACGTCTCTCATACGAATTCTCGATTCTCGATGGAAATATTTGATTGCATTTCATCGGGAATAAACGTCCCGGCTTGTTTGTTCTGCGCTCGAAACGTTAATTGCTGGCCGGGGCACGCAGCGCCGGCCCGGCCCGGCCCGGCATAGCGCGGCGCGAAGCAGCGCGTTTTCACGTCCGATGACAATTGACACCGGTCGGTGTTGTGAATTAATTTTTGCCACCGGACCGTCAAAAATATCCGCTTAGTCCGCCGACTGTTAACCGGCCGATTTTTTGATTAACCAGACTGTCTAGCTGCTACACAAAAGTAATTCGACGAGCATTTCAGCGGACGGAACAACGAATCACAAATGAACGTCGTCTTTTGTTCGGTCCGTGCGCGTGCGCGCGTGTGCGTTCTTTTGTCTGTCAACCGTTTGAACGCTGCGGATATACTCTGTGCCATTTTTGTTATAATTTATGTTTCAATCGAGGTATTCGTTCGATCAATTCCGCCGAAAAAGCCTGTATAATTTCAACAATACTTAAATGAGAAATGAAGAAATCAATGGACACCGATGTCGAATTAATTACCTCATCAACATAATTCCATGGAATCGTTACATCGACGGTGTCGAATCGTTCGTCGACAAAGCTGACGAGTCGAGAGCGTCGGTGAACGCGTTGGAGTGCGACTCGCCTCCGTCGCATCCAAATAAGCCGAATCCACGATCGTCAAAACGTTTACAAAGCCGTCAAAGCGACGTCAAACCGTCGAGGACTAATTAGCGGTGGTTTCGGCGTCAAGTGGACCGCACCTGGGCCGAGTGTCTATCGTTTAACGAACGAAACGGTGCGGTATCTTTGCCGTGGACCGCGCGGGACCTTTGTGACAAACCTAACGTCATTGCAGACCATGCGTCGCCGTTCTCGTCGATACAGTAAATTCCCCTAATTCGCGCTCGGACGGACAATTCGCGCAGAAAAATGGACAATTTGGGAAGAGGAGAGACACGATTATTCGAGCCCCGCGGCTCGTTTCTATTGTTACCGATTTTCAACGACTATAATCGTGTCTTCTTCTCTTCCCAAACTGTCCCTTTTCGCGCGGAATCTGACCTCGAATTGGGCAGAATTCACTGTACATCGTAATTCAGATCAATCATGCCGCGAGCTGCGAAACAGAATTACATTATGCACGAGATGATTTATGATCGTGGTCGACTGGAAAATAAAGTCTGCCTTTATTCCTGCGTCCATAGAACGCATCGATTGTGTTTTCGACTCTCTAAAATCTTTATCTCCATGCCCGATTGAAATTTCAATCTTTCAGGACCGTTTGTTCGATCGATCGACGGGGTCACCGTTGTTCGTCATTGTCATTATTACTATTTTATTGCGCAGATAATCTGAACATATCCGCATCGCTGATCTTCCTGCAAGATTCCCGTTTTCGTACAAGTCGTTTTACAGACATTGCGATTCGTTGCTCGAGTCAACTGAAAGATGACTCGAAATAAAATGAAAATGCTATTAGATCTCGTTAATTCGCAGACTTTTCTTGTATTTTAAAAATCGCCGCACGGTGTAACTGCACAGAAATCCGCAGTCTACTAGCACCCAACGCTGCTGTTCTTATCCTCCATTATCTTAAACTTCTTATTACCATCGCGCCTTTTTCTGATTTCTTTTTGTCGGCTGTTTCATCGCTAGCTTCTTCCTCTCGCTCCCTATTTTCCTGAACGTTTCTCTCCGATCGTAGAACTTTTTCTACTCCGATCTCCATCCTCGTTTTGCCGCACTGATGCAGTGCATACTCCGCGCACTGTGCATCGTTTTTCCTGCAAGCAGTAATCTCTGGCCATTCGACTCCCGTTGTAGATCCGTTGCAACGTAAAGAATTGTAACAGAAATTTCCTCTTACGACCTTCACGGTGCTCCATAGAGAACGAATTCCGGTTCCCGAAGCGCGAATCTCGCGGAGTTCGATGGAGCTCGAAAGAACGGACGGAACTTCGGCGAACTCGAACGAAAATTAGGGTGCTCGTGGCACCGCGATCGCTGAAAGATTCGCGAGAGTTCGCGGGCCTAGCGATAATCGGTCCCATTCCTGGAAAGGGAACGCGAATGATTGTTAATTCGAGCGAGTTACGCGCGAATCTCGCGGAGTCCGACGGAGCTCGAAAGAATGAACGGAACTTCGGCGAATTCGAACGAAAATTAGGGTGCTCGTGGCACCGCATTCGCTGAGAAATTCGCGAGAGTTCGCGGGCCCGGCGACAACCGGCCCCGTTCCTGGAAAGGGGACGCGAGTAATTGTTAATTCGAGCGAGTTACGCGCGGCATCTCGCGAAAGTAGAACGGCGGAACGGGCCGGGGTTTGTCCGCTTCGGGAATCCGCCCTAATCAGCTTATGAATTATTTACGCGGGCTTCGAGGACCGCGCTTAGCTAACCGGATTTCTGATTAAAGCGGCCCAGCGGCAGCGAAACGGGTCCGGAACTCCGCAAAAGCGGCGAAGTCGAACGACCGACCGCGCGACATCGATATCGACCGGACGATTGCCTCGGCGAATTATTTCGACCGCCGACGCACGTTCACCGTTTTCACCGACCCGACCATCGTGACGTTTCCATTCGAATTTTTTGCGCGGGGCGCTCGCGAAGCCGTGCTCGCCGACGATGACAGCGTATTAATAAAATGAAAATAACGCGGGATCGGAGGCCGGCGAGCGCGTTAATGGTTTGAATGGTCTGTTTTGTTAATGGTTGTTAGCTTTTAAATGGAGATGAAATGTTCACGGCGCGTCGGCTGACGGATATTAACACTCATATTGCGCCGGTGTAATGGCTATCCGCTCCGGCGGCTGCCACGAACAAAAACAAATTTGTGAAACGTTTTAATTCGCGGCTACGTATCGCTGTATCCGAAAAACAGTTGCCCAACATTCATTTAAAAGCTTGTATCGCCCCCGCCCCGTGTTGTGCCGACCGAATTTACGGGCGGCCATTTTTCTGCCCGGTGATGTGCCCGTGGCGCAGTTTTGGCAGCGAAGCTGCTTCATCTGGCAGTGCATTTTTTTTTAGCAGAAATGCCCGGCCGTTGCGCGAAAAAATGAATTCACGCGCGAGCCCGTTTGCAATGCTTAATCAGAGTCCGGTTCGGCTACTTTCGGTGGAAGACGAACGACGTGAAAGGTCGACTGGAAACTAGAAATTCTAATTTACACGATATTGTTCGGGACATGGTAAATTGAACAACTTGAAAGCTATTACGATGACTTTGTTAAGTGTTCGAAGTCGAGAAGAAATTCTAGTGCACGGATCGAAAGAAAAGAAAGTCGACGATCCGACAGCCTTTCAGTTTGATGCTTCGAGTGTCTGACCATCGCCAACCGCTTCTACTGATTTAATAAAGCGGGCTCAACAACAGATATACCTTTGAAATATATTTATCGAGTGTCCGACCATCGCTGGCCTCTTCTGCCGATCGAATAAAGCGTCCAAAAGTGCGAAAGAAACTTTATGAAAAATCTTATGTAAAAAACTTCATGAAAAAACTTATCTAAAATCGTTCGAGACAAAGTGAAGTCGACGATCTGCACAATCCCAAATGTCCGACCATGTCACGCTGTTTCTACTGGCGCAATAAAGCCGCCGAAATCGAAGGAAACATATTCAGTGATCGAACGGAGCGAATGTCCGAGCACTGCCAGCCGTTTCCACTTATTGCGTAAGTTAGACGAACCTTTCGGATGATGAACGACGGGCAGGGATGACTATCAGCTGGATGTCCCTTTGAAATTAAGACCGCGGAGCCAGGGAGGGTTAAATGTGATTGATGACGTCGGCATTGTGTCCTCGGCCGGTCATTGATCCTAAATAAATTTCTGTTCCAGGGAACCTGTTCGTGATAGCGGCGATCCTGCTGGAGCGAAATCTGCAGTCGGTGGCGAATTATTTGATCGTCAGCTTGGCAGTCGCCGATCTGATGGTCGCCTGCCTCGTCATGCCGTTCGGAGCCGTTTATGAGGTACGTCGACCGACGGCTGTATTAAGCGGCCATCGTTATGGTCGCGCAATCTATTTTGAATCTCTCCCCTCGTCGCGCAACGAAAGAAGGAAGTTCCCTTGGAAAAATGACATTTATGGCGGCGGAAAATACTTTCCGTCCTCGCAGAACGCGACCGAAAAGAACGACGAGAAGATCATTGAAAAATTCTCCTTCTGATTAATGTCTCCCTTACTGACGCTCAGATTGTCCACAGAAATGGACAAGAGGAGATACGATTATCCGAGCCTTGCGGCTCGTTTTTATAATTGTTGACAATTTATAACTATAAGAATAAACTACAAGGCTCGAATAATCGTATCTCCTCTTCCCAAGTTGCCCAGTTTCGTGGACAATCCGAGCGTCAATTAGGGAGACATTGCTGTACTCTTTAAACAGGAATTATTAAACGTCTTGAACACGCTCTCCCCGAATTTTCGTTTAAAAAACCGCGCACCAATCGTTTCGATTGCTCGGCGGCTCCGGCATTAATTCGACGAGCAAGCTCGGGCAATTATCCCGTGTAAACCGAACGGATAAACAGAGGCACAATGCGACAGTAATATCGAATCGCGATCGAATCAGTGACAGATGTTTCTGAGAAGTCTAAAATGCGACGCGTAATTGGGCCGCTGCATCTCGTGACCCAGGTTTGCGCTGCGTGGATCCGATTGATTCCGCGCAGAGGCGAGGGGCGGCTCCCTCTGTTTATATAACCGTTATGTTCATTAATGCCAACCAACATGCCGGTCAGTTACAGGGACCCGAATCCCTAAGCTGAAACGAAACGTATCCGCTCGAGGCCGAGCGTCGCCCTCGATTCGAGGATTTCCCCGGTTCGGAATTAAATCTGCCGCGATTTCATCGACGAGAAGTTTGCCGAGCTACGGAAACCCTCGTTTCGCACGTTCCTGTTCTCCGATTCTGATCGACGGCGATCGAAACTCGTGCATTTTCGATCATCACCTGTTGCCACGAAAAGATCTTCGCAACCAATTAACCCTTTGCACACGAATGGCGACTCCGAGGCGACGGAGTTGCCACTGTTACAGTTTTTTGCTAAAAAGAAAATTGCTAAAAAATTTGCTAAAATTGCTACGCTGTTTTCAAAAGAATCTTCGCATTATTAAATTTATGTTATTATTAAATTATTCGCTAAATTGATCAATAATGCAAGTGTTCTATAATCATACACGTTCAATTCCACATGGATCAAATAAAAACAATCGTAACAAGTGGAAACATTGTAGGTTGAAACAAATGTCTTCGTTTTGGAGTTAAAATAGTCTCCAGTGCAAAGGGTTAAACGCGCAAACTCGAACGAACGAAGACGTTACAACGGAGAAATCATTTCTGTTGCACGCGCGGCTGGCTCTCAGCTCTCGGGAAAACAGATCTCGGATAAATTTATTCAACGTCCGACCATCGCTGGCCTCCTCTACCGATACAATGAACCGTTTAAAAGTGAGAAAGAAATTTTCGCTCGCGCAACACCGACCGTGGCAAAGTAAATTTGATAAAGTCATCGAGTTGATTTCCGAGCGTCTGGCGCATGGCTTGCTGTTTCCACCGCGGTAATAAAGCCGCGGAGATTAAAGAAGCAATCTCGTTACGGCGGAGCCTTGTTTTCCCTATAAAAGAATTGTAAATTTATCAGACCGTTGAATAGAACGTATATCCGGCGTCCGCGCCATGGCTGGCTGTTTCCACTTGTCGCGAGAAGTCGGACAATGTTTCGCGAAACTTTCGCGCCTCGTCCGCGATTCGGCTTCCCGCGAGGAATTTATCAAAGGGGGGGGGGGAGACAATCGATTGATCAACGAGGGGAGAAATCGGCAGGAACGATCGCGGAGCCGACGCTGTTTCCATCGACGTCGTTAACTATCGACGAGACTCGCTCGCTGCGAACGCTGTTTCGCCTTAATGTATTCCGAGGGATCCTCGGAATCTTCGGAGACACCGCGGATGTCCCGAGGTGTCCCGGCGACGATGTATAATTAAACGGACCCCTCGGCACGTAAGAAGCTCGTTACAACGTTGTTCTTTGGGAATTAATTACCGTGCGGAAGTTCGTAAGACGATTAACAGGCATCTCGCGAACAATCTCCCGTACGGGCCGCGTCGTCCCCGCCGAATATTTCGCTTCTCTTTCGACGCGTTCGCCCGTTGTTCGACGCTCGCGTGACACCCACGGCAGCTTGTTAGGAAGACAAAGTTCCCCGTAAGTCCTCGCGAAGTACAACTTGCGGCCTGTTACAACGGAACGGGGTGGAGGGGAGCGGTTTGATCGAATTCGCTAAAGTGATCAGCAAGATTGCTTCAATCTTCCGGCGACCTGATATTTCAGACACGAAAAACCCGCTCGCATGATCCTCGCAATAACTCTCAAATTCCCCGCGATTCTCCTGCAAATAATATTACACGTTTTCCACGGGACTTGTGCTCGCGGATTACGTCAAGTCCTTTTTGGTTCGCATAGGAAAGCTTTAATCCGCGAGAATCGTTCACTTTTAATGGACGCGCAGACTGCGGAGAAAATGCTGTTCCTGCGTCTGATTTTCTGATATTCAGCTGCTTTGGAATTACGGACACATCGTTACATTATACAGAATGTCCCAAAAATGTCTCGCAACCGGGAAACGACGGGTTACTCGGATCATTTGAAGCAGCTTCTTCCTTTACAAAAATGTTCTCCGAGGCACCGTTAACGAGTTATTAACGAAACAGCAGTGACCAATAAGAATCGATTACGGCTGACGCGAGGCAGCCCGGCCAACCAGCGCACGGAGCCCAGTTCTGCTCATTGGCTAGGTCGTCTCGCGTCAGCTGAGCTCGCCTCTCATTGGTCACTGTTTTTCGTTAATAACTCGTTAACGCTGCCTCGAAGAAAATTTTTGTAAAGGAAAAAGTTGCTTCACACGACCTGAGGAACCCGCCACTTTCGGATTGCGAGACATTTCTGGGACATCCTGTACATCCGACGGTCATTAGGGTCTTTATGCGAAATAAGTCTGTTTTGCAAGACGAACGAACCGCGAATTCATGTTCAAGACGAACGAACCGAGTACGATTTTCTCTTCTTTTTTAATCATTCGGATAAATTCGGATCAGTACCCCAACATTCTCTTCAGTTCAGCCACCAGCATTCTTGTCACAAAATTCGCGGACCAATCGCAGAAGCGTTCATCGTTCCTCCCTCGTGCAATTAAACGGTCGCACCGCCGCCATTTGTACATCGAACGTTTGCTGAAAAAGCAGTCGCGTTTTTTTCATAGACCGGCAGAATTTTCACCGCGGCCCCGTGGATTGCTATTAAAAAGTTCCACGGAGCAGCAAGAGTCGGCCGTTATCAGCCTCGACTTCATTTAACCTTAACAAGCGGGGGACCCGGATAAATGAAATATTAATCGAATTTAACCCTCGGCCGGACTAGCCCCGGTTAGTCGCTGCTGCCCCGTGCAACTTTAAACCGCTAACTATTTAAAGCGCGTCGACGCGGTCGCTCGAAGATTTAGGTAGTTCTCTGCTGCTTGCCCAGGCAAAAACCGGCAATCGATTTCCATTGAACGATCGCCGGTGCTCGTGCTCGGCTCGTGAAAATCGTTCCGGCGAACGAATAATATCCGTTCCACTTTAAAACGCCGTCACGAACGGAGAATCTATTTCGCTGGAGATTTTCTGTTTGCAGCAACAAAAAACGGCGCGCAGCGGTGGCACGCATTCGCTGGAGAAATGAACGCGCGTGTATCATTATTCAGGGGTTCGGGATATTTCGCAGCTGGCGCGAGACGAATATCAAAAACCGTGTGTCTGCGTGCCGGGAGCGGCGGCTGGTTGGTTGGCGGGGGGCGAGGGGAGGCCCGTCGGGAAAAATATCTATACGCGGGCGCCCAGTCCTCGAAAAATCTCTGACGTAAATCGAGGATTATAATCCCGTCGCTCCGCTGTTGCCGGTATATTTCCAGGAGAATAGAATAATACCTCGCTCTGATTCCAATGAATTCGCGGCGCATAGCCGGGCCGACTGTTTTCTTTTCTTTTTCGTAACTTCGCCGAGCCTCGGGCCATCCCTATTTGAAGGCTCCCGCTTTGAGAGAGCGAGAGCGAGGGCGAGAGCCGGAGAGGGAAAGAGAAAGAGAGAGATAGAGAGCGAGAACGAGAGCGAGAGAAGAAAGGGAAAGAGAGAGAGAGAAAGATGGAAAGAGAGAGAGAGAAAGAGAGGGATAGAGATAGGGATCCGTGTCGCATCGGTGTGTTTGCGCGAGGCTCGTTCCCGCAACGAGGTCCTTGTGTGCGTGAGAACGCGTGCAGAGCCCCCCTGCCGGCTTTACATTGTGGTTTCATTACGTTTACTAAAAACAGACAGGCAAATAGTCGGGGATATAAGCGGGCCTGTGTGCAGGAATGCGAGAAGAATTTCAGGGGACGGAGAACGCGGCCGAAGGAGAGGCTTGAATAACAAGTTTAGGCGGTTTCGTTGAATATTCGGGCCGGCGCACGGTGCGCTCGTTTATGGGCAAAATTTAAAAAAATCACAGCTTCGTGTCTACTCGAGACTGTGCGTACGATGTGTTAAAATCTCTGAATAATTACAATTTAGCAAGAGAATGTTCGGAAAATTGAGCTAGAGATTTAGTTCAAGTGAAATCGCCGAAATAACCGTGGCACAAACGCGACATAACCGTGTATAATTCATTGTATATTCAATATATTGTTACGGCGAGTTGTCCAAATCAAGTCGCTGTAATGTGGAACTGCCCCGTTGTGAACAATTCCTTAGGAAATAATGGCAGATAGGGGTTGCCACGAAATAGTTATATTCGAGAGTCGAGATCGGACCGTCGAACGATCAACATTGCGAATTCAAAGATCTGTAATATAATTGAATTGTGTTGCGTTATATTCTATATTAATTGTAAATTAAATGTCACGACGCGAGAAAAACAGAGAGGTTCGCAACAATATTATATAATTCATTGTAT